TTTTATGAACAGGAACTTTGTCCATTGGAAGGTCTATCGGTCGGTCGACTTATCGATCTATCCGTATGTCTGTCTCTCTGCAAAACTTCCCCTAATTCTGATAAAACTGTATTGGTAGGGGCTCCTTAGCAAATCGAGGTAGAAACAAATAGGAGTAAGATTTAAAGGTAGTTATGTTATCAAAAACTCATACTTCTCAGATTATCACATAAGTGTCTACTACATCATAGTAACTCCAGTTAATCGACTACAATTGATCCCGATTGGAGGTGCAATTTCTCGCAGCAAATATGGGCTAGTGATGAATAATGAATCACCTCTAGAGGAGCAATTATGTAAAATGGTGAGAGGTAGGGGTAATGGAGTGAGAACTCAGGACCGAGTTATTGATGGATACTACAGGCTAAACAGTTGACCCCAGGATATTCGTCGACATTAGAGATATTAAAAAACTTCTACTGTTTAAATGGCACTGCAGGCTATGTATAAGAATTATAGCTACATTATGCTCCTCAAAATCATACATCTGAGGGGACATTAGACAGTGTTGACCGCTTATCTGATCTGAGAACTTGCTTGATAGCGAACGTTTCGCGTTTGAAATGGAACGCAAGTTATAAATAGAATGTTCCCATGACCTTGTTGCGGGGAGATTCACTTGAAACCGTAGCGATTATCTAATGAATGCAAAAACACTGTGAGCGATAGATCCTTAAATGTTCCTAAATATATCGGAAACTTGAAATTGATAATTTTGCTTCTGCCACGAGGTTGCTAGCTGGAAATCTTTATTCTGGCCGACGTTTGGACGGACTCGTGGTTTTCAAAGGCCTGAAAATGGCTCAAAGCTTTTGATTGCACACTACCCCCACCAAGCGCCTCCTCCGCTCTAGCTTTTCTGACCTTCTATCTGGAATGCACGAAAAATGCCCAAATTAAAAAGATAAGCTCACCTCACTTCCACCGCGAAGTGTAGCACTACGCTTCACGGTTAGTGTTTACATTAGTAGCGAATGACCTACTTCGCTGTCCTTATGCAATAATATCATTATTATTGCGGATCAGCACATTCGCTGATTATGGAACTAACTCGCAGTGNAAGAGATCATTTGTGATTGTGACACACTCATTTCGGCTGTTCATATCTGGATTTCTAGCTAAAATCCAGAACGCTTCCAACGCTCTCTTCGACGAAATTTCCGTCTCGTGAGCCAATATCGTACACCTGATATTGAAATCATTGCCATCATGCTGTTCTACTCTGGGCTTCCCTAGCAGAGTTAACACATTACTGCGCCGGAAACTGTTTGCTACCGAAAATAGACCAGTATCATCTACCCTGAGCAATGGAGCACTTCCGTCATAGAAATAAGTCAAACCATCGGAGCATTTCGTGGCATATTCCGTTCGCTTCCTGTTGCTTCCATCTATGGAGCTACACTCATAAGGGAAAGGGAATTCAGTCTTAAATACTCTCGATTCGTACTTCCACCCACTCGTCTCAGGGTGACGGGAGTCTGGCACAGTGTTAGCCTAACAGGCTGACATCTGTGCCTGATTCCCTCCCCTACCAACTAGCTTTTATGAATTAGAAACTTTATTACCACTATTATTATTGCAAGAATTAAAAGGACGTCATCATAACATATGCCCCTAAAACTGCATATAGCCCTATTAGCCACATATCTGGACACCTTTCGCATAAATTTGGAAATTGTGAAGGAGACAGATTTTTCAGGGAAACTAGCAATGCCCAGGTAACAAAAAAATATGTCCCTACTCTAACTTTTTTAGCAAAAATATTAAACTTTAGCGCATCGAGCGACATCAAAGTACTTCCACGAATAATGCTATTTTTGCCATTTCTACTTTGTAGCAGGTAGATACAATTTTGAATTAGAAATATAAACATTTTTTCGTGGCCTATGTACTTTGTCGAGAAAAAGCTGCAAAGCCTTTTTCCTATTCACTGATCGCTTCGAAAAATGGCAAAGTTCCATGAAGAATTTCTGAAGTTCACGAAATGTTATTATTTATCGCAAATGGAAGCGCTATATCTTTTATAACATATGGATATTTCCTTCATTTTCAATTTTTTTTTACTCTTTCTCCTTCCTTTTTTAATTATTGATTCCCACCATTTAAAAAAGTCCCTTTCCGTGGCTTATCCCATTGCAATAAGTATCCAACCAATTCGTTCCTTTGTTTTTCCTGTTTGCATGGCTGCTCCTAACCCGCTGTCACTTCCCGTACCACCTCGTACTGGGAACGTGCACGCTGTGCTTTACCTCCCTCCTAGCCCCTTTTTGCTTCACTAATTAATGCAATCGTTACTGGTGGATGTGGTGCAGTTAATATTGTGCTATTTAGGCGCTGTTTGAAGATTAGTTCTCCCCCCAACTAATGAGAAGTCTCGTTCTCAAGTTATAAGCTAATTAGTGGGCAATCTATCTGAGAAGGTAAAGCCACTGCCCCACCCGTATCCATAACCTCGTTGCCAGGTACATCTGCAAAAGCCTACACAAATCCCCTTTCAAATTCAAATCTCATGGTAAAAGCATGCGTGCATACGATTGTCTCGAGATCGCATCAACATAATAAATCAGTTGGCCCCAGCGAGCCATTGTATCAGCCAACTACTCATTCAATACGCCACAGCGATTCTGAATATTATTCGAATGCGTGAGCGGATCACAAAATGAGAATCGGATAAAGCTGTGCCCGAATAATATATAATTTATTAGGCCAATAGCAAGGCTAGGCACCCAGTGTACGCATACTCTATTGCATGAGATTCTGAGGTTTCACGAGGTTCCTTCACCCTTGAACTCATGTGCTTTTCTTCCATTTCATGTGCCAGCATTAGCACAACACTCTCAACGCTCAATGATAGTCACTCATGGCCCAGTTCAGAAGCATGTCGAAAGAAGGATGTGGTGGCCACGCGCTGAAAGGAAATCGGCCGAGTTCCTCTCGGTTCATGCAAAACGATGTCTCTCTTCATACTCTCAAACTCATCCTTCACCTCTGAGGACGATTCAAAGAACATTCCTTCAATAGGGGCTCTTGGACTATGCACGTGACGAGATTAGCTCCAAATTCCTGCAGATGGTGTAATTGTAGCGAAACCTATGTACTTCCAAGTGCAACAGTGAATGAGAAGCTGACACATCCTGAAAAGGCCTGAAAACGTGAAAGCAGAACAGAGAAACCAAGCGTAATAGCGGACGTTGCATTTCAGCAAGTACACAGCAACTTCAGCCAAAAAAAAANAAAAAAAAATCCTATGACAGTCGCAAAATTACACATAGGATACGAAATGTGCCTCTGCTAAGCATGCAGCAATTTCCATTTTGGTAAAATGTGATCATTCGTTGGACCTCCTGCGATCGGTCAATCACTACACTTTTATTGGGCAGAAAGTAATTTTGTAGAAACGAAGAAGACAGTAGAATCAGAAAGTTTGACAAACATGAGCAAATTGTTTGCGTTTGGGCTGTAGCAGCTTGGGGTAAATGCCTTACTGTAAACAGTACCTATAGATCAAACATGACAGAAAAAATAAATTAAAAGAAGATGATATTGAAACTGAAAACAACAATAGATGTGGAATGACTACAATAATAGTGTATACAAAAAACAAAATACGCGCGAAGATCTTGTTAGACAACCCGTAAATTAGTCTTACACTAGATAAATGAAATATTTTTCTAGAAAAAAATGTTATTATCAGGTATATTCATCAACTGCTATTAAGAATCATAAATTCGAAACGAAACTCCTTTTATGACAGCCAACCATGTGAAGGTCCAGTCCTAACAAGGTGTGAAACATGTCATAGCACTGAAAAAACGACTTCAAATAAAATGCAACAGACGGAGTAGACGGGAAAGTGGAAGACGATCATTTCTAGCTACCTCCTCGCACTCCCTCGACTTCTGATGGAACACCCTATTGTGCATGAAATCCGTGTCCTCATTATGGAAATAAAGCCTGCATTCTGGGCAGTGTATGTACGATCTAAACAGAACTTTTAATGTCTCAAAGCTAACAGAAAAGGATCTCAAGTCGGAGCGGCTTTTCAAAATGACTTTTGTTGCTAAACTTGCCCAGATGCAAATCCCAAATCATCTTCCAAGTCAGTCGAAGTCGATTCACTTCGTTCCTGATGGAACTATGAAGGCATTTAAGTGAAAGCTTAAAAGTCGAACATAAAACCGCTGGTGTACCTACGCTATGAGCGCTGGCTTGGAGCAGTGGTAAAGGCGACAATCCATAGGCAAGAGAAACTGGTTCAGGTCCCGCAGGAAAAAGATGTTTGCATTTTAGAGGGTTTTTCAAAGAATGTATTATAAAAAACCTTTCCATCTTGATCTCATCACTTTCTACATCATTATTGATATTTATCGAGCATTGGTTTCTACCTAAGCCGTCGTCATAAACTCTCTACTTGTCCATATACACTACTTTCCAGAAGGAGGTTTGAAATAAATTGTTACGCTAATACCATCAGCGCAAAGAGGCACCAATAGAGTGAGTGGGAGGGTTAGTGCGGATGATTCTTTTCACTGATGACCATCTAACCAGAAAATTTTCGTAGTAATGAAAATAGTTGTAGCATGCGATGAAATCAACACAAAGAGGCTTTCTAGAAAGGAAGTAAACTGAAAACGTAAAAATCTTGCCCAACGCAGTCTGATCCATAGTCTCGTGCCTTTGAGGCTTCACTCTTGTCACTTTTATCACTGCACCGAGTCGCTACAAACTAGAAAATCTTTCGCAAATCTTGAAAGCGGGATTGAGATCAGCATCAGAAATATGTCTAGCAATATAAACGTCATCTCAAATAGCCATCTCGGCTTGAAAATCGACTCTTGCACATTACGAGTAGATAGGCTTGTAAGCCGAAATTCGATTGTACTCGCGAGTACTTGCCAACTGACAGAACTAATTTTTACTACTCCGCAGCAAAAATGAAAATTTCTAAAAATACAGTTTACTCACTCATCATTGCACGTTGGACTGGTTTGGGCAGCCATTTTTTGCCAAATTTTCAGCATCACGTTCTTTTCCTGTGCTAATGAAACTGCAAACGCTGACGTTCGAGTGGACAGCGTTGCTTGCGCTCGAGATAGAATTGCATCTGAAATGGATTGCTAAGGGAACTCATTTCTTTCCGTTTGCATTATAACCCTCCAGATGTAACCTACAGTTTCGCCTAGCCGCAGGGGTGAACATGACGCTAGAAAACATCCATTCACCGTTTTCTAGGCATCAGGCACACAACTATTTTATAAAGTGTAAGAGAGCTAAGAGGACATAAGTGAAACTTCATACCGATCTGGTCCAACCACGCTGTAGTAACATCAACGATTCCTGGATGTGATCTCATTGGCGAGAGCTGCAGACGAACACGCAACGCTCCACCTTGTTGTAGAAAGCAATTCCATCCACACAGAAGAAGATACTAAAATTCATGAAATGACCTCCGTATACTGCAAGCAACCACAGCAAAATTACTCACAAATCGATCAGCAATTACTTTAGCAGGCACATTTTTTGCTTTATGACANAGAAAACATCCATTCACCGTTTTCTAGGCATCAAGCACACAATTTTTTTATAAAGTGTAAGAGAGCTAAGAGGAGATAAGTGAAACTACATACCGATCTGGTCCAACCACGCTGTAGTAACATCAACGATTCCTGGATGTGATCTCATTGGCGAGAGCTGCAGACGAACACGCAACGCTCCACCTTGTTGTAGAAAGCAATTCCATCCACACAGAAGAAGATACTAAAACTCATGAAATGACCTCTGTATACTGCAAGCAACCACTCAAAATTACTCACAAATCGATCAGCAATTACTTTAGCAGGCACATTTTTTGCTTTGTGACACGCATCAGCCAGCTTCATCATTGTTTCCACGTATCGAGAAGTAATAAGATGCTGTACTTCCGATGATAAATCCTGGAAAAGGGTAAAACAAATTGCGGATTTTGTATGAATTTCTAAACTCCTCTCTTCAAACAATAATATCGTTCCTCTAAATTTTCCATGGTTTGCGTAGGCAAAACATTTCGGCCAGAACTTCTCCCTTCTACAGACTTCTTCATGTCCTTATTTCTTCAAAATCTCCAACACAAACCTTTTCTGTTTGAATTTCTCCCTTCGACAGAGTTCTTCGTGTCCTTAGTTCTTCACAAATCTCTGACACCGATTCTTTGATGGTGTCCACAAACTTTGTAATCTTCAGCATGCTCACCTGAAAAAGCTTTCATCCTATGTAGGAATGGCGATGCAATTTTTGGACAAAGCGACGGCAACTAACCTTACGAGAGTCGAGAGTTAGAGCATGTAAGCCATTTTCTGGGAGACGGTTCATCAACATAGTGTTGAAAGAATTGTAATCGAGACCTAAAGAGAATTATAGCTGCCTGGATCATTCGGATATCTAACATTTTTACTTACGATGACGGAACTGAAGAGGTGAGGCCCGCTCAAAAATAGTCGTAAAGTTTGCCGGCAGATTTGACGGTTCGATATCGATAAGCTTGCCTAAAAACCTACTTAAGTTGCATAGCAAAAGCAAATCCAGAATAACAGGAAAGGCTACGATGGAAAAGAGGGAAGCACACGATAAAACGAACTTAAGTCATAGCGAGAGAACTGACTCACCAAAAATAGGTGTGACTGGCTCAAATAAATTAAAGACGAACTGCGCGAATGTTGCCATATTAACAGTAGAAAGTGCTGAAGATGAAGTTCAAAAGGTGTAAACATGTAAACAACCCATTTGGAAAACACATTTCATGGTTTCAACTCACCGGAAGCTTCATTTATGATAATTTCTAGAGCGAGTGCGTTTAAAATTTCAGCGCTATCAGAAGAGAAAATGGCTGAAAACACATTAGTTGCGACATTTAATAAGGCGGAAGATGACAAAAAACTCTACTTGTTGTAGCAGCTTCCGCAAAATTATAAGTTGGTAGTGTAATGGGATTAGCGGAACGTTCATTATCACGTTTTACGGGTACAAAAGACGATGTAACTTCAACAGCAACTCTAAAATCAAACAGATTATGAACGAGAAAAAAAGAAGTAAAAAAACAGTAAAACTAACACTAAAATAGGAGGAGTTGATGATTTACGGCGAAGACGGATTCCACTGAAATTATTTTTTTAGGTTTTATTCTTCATTAGCTGTGAGATGAAAAAGTTGCCAAAGCAATCATGGAGAAACCCCAGACAAATTACGCTCCTCCCTCAAAAAAAGGATTCTAAGGAAGAATCTCCCAATACAACAAGACCGATAGAGGTAAGTACGTGCAGTATCTAACAGTAATCAGGTGCATAGCGATTAAAATCTATCTACTGTGAAAGAACACGGTTAATTTTATGATCGCACTGTGTGAGAGATTTATTCATGCTCACCTAGCTTGCACTGCTAACGCCCTGCAATCTTACAGAGCTTTTATAAAAACTGCAAGTTCATCCCACAGAACATCATGAGTTCAGGAGACATAAAATCGAATATAAAGTTACATAAAAGAAACGTTATCTACAAATAGAGCTCTACTCGACCCCACTTTAAAAATGACACAAAGCGAAAGCAAGATAAGCGAAGCAAAGGAGATATCCTTGGCAAAGCGCAAAGGCACAGCGCAAGAGCTGATCTACACTATTTCTCCCAGTTCACAGAGGTGTAATAAAGTTACGCCGTTGCTGTTCTTGTCGTTCTATACGGTTCCATTCAAAGACCCGTGATCTATCATTTCATTTGGCCTTTCCTTTTCTCATTTACCCTAGTTCAAATCTATGATGTATCTTCTCAAGAATTGAGCTCAACAGGGACGCTATAATAAGTGGATATTCAAAAGAAAAACCTGCCTATTAACTACAATCACGTCATCGTTTGTGGCGTTGTTGTTCGCTGATGACGACGACTGTCCGCCACACCCGCGTTTTCTAAACAACGCCTCTGTGCCTCAAAAAATTAGAATATGTAAACATTCTGCTCTCTAATCAGAAATACCCCAATGATTCAATGATTCAATGATTCAATGCATTTATGTTATACAATTATAATAATTTTCATTGGTTACTCAATGAAATACGTTGCAAACATCACAAGTTCAGTTGAGTGTTATAAGGATGTTTCATTAACTGTTCAACGCCTGATTGCAGTACACCCCTTTTCAAAATGACACCGTGGCACACACCGAAGAACAGCTTATACGACTACAGAAATGTGGGAAACCCGAAACACTCGAGGAAGGCATGCACCTGCATGTGCTCATAAAAACTCGACCAACCAACTAGCCAACTTTTGCAACCAATGGTTCAATCCTTTCTCCACGACTTAGCGATAAGCTCCTTTTAATTTCTTTAGTAAATACTAAGCAAGAGCTTGTGCTCACCTGTTGTCAGACAGAGTTGGCGAAGAGACTGATTCCGATTGAGCTGAGGCATTAAGTCGAGATGATTTCCTTCTTGGCTGAACAGACTGTGACTCCTGTTCGAGGTGTTGTGAGAAGCTGTGATTCTGCGGTGGATGCTCAGATTTGGTTTCTGGGAGTGATGTCCTCATACGTTTCTGGGCTACAGAACTTTCAGCCGTTTCGTTAGTCCTTTTTATTCTCTCACTTTTTCGTTGTGAATCGTGTGTGGTTGGTGGTGGTGAGGGGGATGGCTCTACGACAGATTTCAAAAGTGTCTTTCCTACAAAATTCGAGGCATATTTTGCTTTAATGCTCGCCACAGACTGGTGTTCAGTAGACAGCTGTGCTTCACTGAAAGAACTTTGGCATTTTCTAGATCGAGTAGGAATGGCTGAAGTTTGCGTTATAGAGGAGCTGCCATCTTGGCGGGAGTCATGAGATCGCAGGGTCTTGGAATTAGGGAAAACATCCGCGACAGATGGTGAATTTTTCGATGATGCCCCAGCAACGGACACTGGTGTTTTCGCACCTGATACAGAAGAAGAAATAGGTTTTGAAGGTGTGCGTAGGGATCCCTTCACTTGTAGATTCTTGCTTGAACGCCTTGTGGGAGTGCGCATCCGAGTTACCGGTTTTGAACCTCCTACATCCCAAGACTCATGGTCCTCTGGAATTTCCGTGACGATTGGAAGCTTGCTTGCGAATGACTTATCTCCATGTTTGACGTCAACGATAGCTCTGTATTCTTTAAAAGTCGCCTGAACAGCTTCGGATTCTTCGGTTACTATGGATACACCAACACATGAGCGAAATCGTGGTTTTGGAGTAAGTACGACAGCAATATCCACGAACTTTTTTGACGGTCCTGAGCGTTCCAATTTCTTCGCTTCTCTTGATCGACGCGGAACTTCCTGACGTGCTTCTAAGCCACTGCTTGCTGTACCTAGCCTTGTGGTAGGTCCCATAAATGAATCGACATCCATTGGAAAACTGGGAAACTCGCTGACTGGTCTCGGATGTATCTTCGAAGGAACAATTACCGTCGTCCCACATGGGAGAATAACCTTACTCGCTTTTGAAGCCACTGCAGAGAAAGACCCAAAGAACGATCCCGCTTCGATTTCTGCTCCAGATCTTCGGGCCACAGCATGGGTGTTTGGAGAATCAAGCTGTTCCAGTTTTGGATCTCTCTGAGTAGCGGTCGATGTTCTGACTGTTCGAGGAAGCACAGACGCTGCCTCCATGAGCGGATCACTTGAATGATTTTGTGAACTTTCCATTGTTTTTCTGTCGGTGAGAGCCACTAAATGTTTGGACATTTTACTGACATCAGGAGTGGGATCAGAACAGGATGTTTTCTCTTCACTGACACGCGAGTCCCGTTTTCCTCTCAATATAAAGTGACGAGGAGAAGTATCTTTAGTCTTTCGCATAGTTTTCGTTCGAAGCTCAGCTGATGGNGGAGCGTTTTCTCTTGACGTAGTTGCGACCCTTCTCTTTACCTGTGGTGGAAGAATATCTAACGAACATGCTTCCAGTTCCCTCTTTCGCAGAGATTTTTTGGGCGATGGAACAGACGGCGCTTCAATGCTCGCCTCATTCTCTGTCTTGAGCATGACCAAAGAACCAGATTGATTACTGAAGGATGAAGAAGCTTCGGAACTCCTCTGCTCCTCCAAAACGTTTTGCTGCACCGGCATTTCATCCGGTGGTGGATCTTTCACAATAACACCCTCGAGATCTTCGACGATAACCAAACGATCAGGTGAATCCGACAGGTCACTCCTCTGGGAGCTCGTACTTTCCAGTAGACTGCGACGAGTTGTCGGTTTTCCAGAGATTGTGCTCAATGCAGCACTCACTTCCTGAAAACAAGTTAGTTCAACATTGAAACGTCTGCTTTCTCTCATCAAAACGAAGCACCTTTAGATTTACAGCTTGCGACCGACCAGAACTCGAACTCGATGCAATACATCCTTTCAGATCTTTTCGTCGCGTTTTGTTTTTGACCTGAAATCGATTTTTTCAATTTAGTCACTTCCAACGATCAAAGAATTATTTTGAAATGATGTAGTGAAGCCGATTCGTTCCATTGATAACACCACTTTTGTACAACTTCTGATAAAGTTTTCTTTTTGAGGGAATTGAGAAATACAGATGACACAACACAACGTGGAAAACTTTAAAAAACAATAATATCGAACCTTTCCGGATGATGTTGAAGAAGAAGGAGAATTTTGGGGACACGGATCATCAATAGATTGGCTTGGCATTGCTCCAAGTTCTAGCAGCAACAAACACTCTTCCATACTGGTCTCATGATGTTTCCTTTTCATAGGAGGAAGTCGACTCAACAAGGGCCTTCGCGTGATTTCTCTTGTAGTACTCGCTGCAAATATGAGTTGAATTACTAAGCCCACTAATAATTCAAGGATAGGGAATAAGAATAAGACTGGAAAAAAGTTTGTCGTTCGAATGAAATGTCATTACCTTTGCATTCCAGCATAGCCTTGCATTGCACCATGTCTCGTATAGTCACAGCAGTACCGCTACCGATCTGTACCTCGAAAACCCAAGAGGAATTGAGTTCTTCATATTTTGGACCTATAAAATACAGAGGGAATCACAGATGATATGATTCGCTTTCAAAATGAGAATATCGCAAATCCTACCAGAACAAGAAAGCGAGACCGAAGCAAAAGAACATGTAGGCCGTACTTCCATGGCATACCCAACATTGTCGAGCGCTTTGTTGTGGAACTCGTCAGATAAGTTAACATTATGGACCTCTGGTGCTGAAATAAATTGTAATGAGACTAAAATACTAAATACACATTTCTAACTGATCAACTTTGCCTATTTATGATAAGAGTTAAATGAACACAACCGTGATTCTTCGATTTCAGGGTCACTCGCCTCCTGCACTCTCCCATCGTCACTCAATCATCACTTCTCTCAAGGTCTTGATCCACTCCTCTCCGAACTCTAGAACCCTCAACACTCACACTGCTACCATGGGAAATACCCCGTTTATAGCAACCAGTAAGTTTTTCGGCATTCTAGAACGTTCTTGAACGATGTTATGATTTCCAGCCTTAGCTCGAGGTTCCCCTAGTTCAAGCATGTGAAGCACATCTCAGGCCCAGCTCACTCTAATAAATAGTTTGATCAACTCGTGAGATTGGCTCTCTGGTATTTCAGCAACGGTGACTTTATCCACACAATATTGCGGCCTGTTCTTAATAATAACAACAATATTATTGTTCTTATTATTATTAGCAAAACAAATTCGAAAGCCAAACAACTTCCAGAGCGTTGTAGGACCGATTCATCAGTCTTTGTTCTGAACTTCACCGACAATGAGCATTTTCTGGCCTCAAGAATTCTGTTCGCGTAAGCCGTGATTCTCTGAAGCGACGTCAGCAACGGTTTTTTCAGGAACTTGGCCATCTTATGAGCTCACATTGATTTCACAGCTTAGCTCTACTCCATCTACCCACTTCTTGCTGTAACATACATTCCTATTCTTACAGACGGCAAAAAGAGAGCATTGGTGGTAGGTGATAGAAAATTTCGACAGTCGGAAGGACCTATGAGGAGCTTTAGAAGGCAAGAACCGTGTGATCCTTAACGTTCTTTGTGTTAACAGTGAAACCCTCGCACGTTCGAAACGTTTGATAAGTGTTGTGGGGATGCAAATGGGCCGCAGGTGCTTGGTGACAGTGACCGACAGCAAGTGAGAAGAGCCATGGAAGGCGAGATTAGGACATGTGACGCCTTCAGTATTAACACCGGAAACGTGACACATTGAAGAGTGACGTAGAATTCGGCGGGCGTGCAAGGTCAGCGACAAGTACTGATAACAAGTGATAAGCGCTGAAAATTACCATAGATCACTTTTTCTTTCAGCGCGGCAAGGGACCTGGCTGGTATAGGGTGTGACTTGGTCGCAGGTAACGAGTTACTGCAAATGATAAAGCTGAGAAGTACTTATAAAGGACCACAGAAAGTTTCTAGTTTCTAGCCACCTTGATAGATATGATGAAGCCTTCGCGTTTGAAAATCTAATAGAATAGGACGGGATGATAAACTTGGTAGGTTGACAAAAATAAAATAGTAAATGCAGTGATTAGCACCGGTCAAAGCCAGTACCATGTACAAAAACGAAATTCGCTTCTGCCCTCCGTACGAATTCCGACAACTACGCCTCTAGCTTTGTGACTCATTATTGGGCCAGGTATTTTTTTAGGAGATCAGTTACCACAACCAGCAATAATCCGAAATATCCAATAACTTTTCTCCGTAAAAATAAGAAGGGCTACGCTCTCTGATGGAGGTTAAGGTTAAAGGATAAAATCTTGATCAGTAAATCCCGCCTGAGGGCATCGGCTGGACACCGCAGATCATTGTATAAGTCACATAGGCGTTCAACACGCCACTACGATTCTGAATGGGATCCCCTGGCATTCGACTCTCATTCAGAATCGTAGTGACGATTGAATGCCTATGTGGCTTATACAATGACCTGCGGTGATTCCGGAGAAATGAAAGGTGTGGTTAGCCTAGTTGGATAACGATGCGAGATTCGAACCCGTGACCCCGCATGTTTGAAGTGCGCCACTTGTTCCTACACACCTCTGCCCTGATGCAGGTATTATCAATCCAAGACATTAGTAAGTATTATTCAATTCTTCAGTTGATCGATCATCCACGCTGCTCAGTTCAAAAAAAAAGTCGGTGTGCCGCCATACCCAATAAAGGGAGGCATTGAATTTTAATGAATGGTCACCATCAAAATCGATGCCGCGTAACTCAAGGGATTCTCGTTCAAAAACTTTGCGACCAACGCGACCAGTTTGAAAGGAGGAATGGCTGGACGAGCGTGCGTTCCGAATCGCATGTACATTAGGCCCTTCCAAGTGCCGAATCTGGGCCTTTAATCAACGAGACACGCATTTTCTTCGCTGGGAATTCTGAGCTAAAATTTTCATGGAAGCATAAAAATGACACTAAACTGACCTCGGCACCGTAATGAGGCAGAATCAAGGAGTGGTTTTGGACGGACGCCTACGCAGCTTATATCCAAGGATGGTGATTCTAACGACAGGGAGGACGCCACTTCTTCATACTTCACTTCTGAAAAAATTCAACATGTGAATCTAGAACAACGACCAGCTTAAGTAAAGCAGATATTCTGATACAGCCAAGATAAGTCTTTCAGGCCTGATTTACGCTTTAAGCTTAAGATTAGGGGCTAGAGAGCAAAACACACTGAATGGGAAAGGAGGCAGATGAAAAGTGAGATTGCGTGAATGTGAAGTAGCATAGATTCTCTCATAATAAGTACTTGAGCAAGAAAGTGGGAATTTCAAATCAGAAGCCTTTTGAGGTTGATCAACCCCGTTTTGGGATGCTGCCCCGCAACCGAATTTCATTCAGATTTGTAGTAGCGTTTTGAGTGTGTACGTGGTTTGTACAAAAACTTGCGGTGGCCAGTCAGACCAGTGCGACAATGAGTCATCTACAACTGGAGCAACCTTCCCCATCAATGAGAAACTGATTTTAAAATCTAATGGTAAGTTCCGCATTATGTGGCATACCACGATCCCCCCCCCCCCCCCCCCCNTATGCGAGCTTCCACGTGACAAAAGGCACCGCGCTCACCTTCCCTGCACAGATATGCGACGCGATGCGGTGTTGCATTGTCTCAAAAACAGTCACCGACTATTAGAATTCCAGGTACGGGAAGATTATTTTCCCTATAACTTCACTAACATAATAAATTTCGCCTTTTCACCATTATGACGTGACTTTTCAGCAACATTTGACCCAACAGTGAAATTGTGAACTTTTGCCGACAAGACCAACGAGCCCAACCGCTCTTAGCACGTTCACAGCTAAAAAAATTTTACGGCGTCAAGCTGGCGCTGGCACGTGAGAAGCACGATTAGAACGCGTCATGGTCATCATAAAGATGTGAACAGTGAAACTTTAGAATCTGCAAGAGGGAACATTAGGCCGAGCTCGAGCTGCCTATCCCTCGTGCTAAAAAAGTATGACCTGCAGCTGGGCAGCCAAACGCCTATGTCTTCATCTATCAACGAATTCATAAGGACCACTGATACTTTGCTGTGCTTTTTCACCTCGAGCAGAAACTGGTCGGACAAATGCACAATAAGCTAAGGACGTGACACTCTCTGCATGTGCATCACTAACACTTTACCGCGGATAATTATTAGATGGTAAATTAACTTCAGCCTGACACAAATGTCCATCATCAAATTCAGATTGTCTAGGAAATTTGAAGTGAAAATGGATCACAAGGCTTATAAAACATCTTTTCAGAAGTTACACGATCAGAGGTAGTTTATCGAAGATTACTGCGAAAGACGGAGTAGCAAATTCCTGCTTTAGCAAAAAATTTCTTTCAAAACGAGGAGTAAAACAGTAATTCGAGAGCATACCTTGACAAGTGAGAGCAGCATACTCCGAAGGGCGCTCAACGAGTTCAGCCAAATAATATTCGTTCTTAGTTGGATGGCGGCAGAAAGCGCAAGCAACAGAGGAGGTCTCTTCTTTCGACGCTGAAATGTGAAGTGAAGCTAGAGAGATCATGGACTCTTTTTGAATCTTCAAATCAAATTCAATTCTCGTCAAAACTTATTGGAAAGTTCGCGATGATCAATCAAGACATTGAAAATAATCACATTTCTCAAATTCACAATAAACTCAAAATCTCACTCTGCTAATTTTACTAAGTGCCACCACATAAATGTAGACATAACAACTTATAAACGCTACTCTTTGTTCTAAGGAATTATCTGAGTTATTGTCCAAACCGGCACCGCTGCAACTACCCTATACAAATCCAAAATTGAAGAAACTAAATGAAGAGATCCAGCTTAACTTTCTGTGACAACTCATTTCTAAGTCTACGAGGCCGGATAGTCTAACAACCGAGCGACCAAAAGTCATTCCCTATCAAATGAGCAGTGTTTGCCCTTATTCAAAAATGTTCCTGTCCCTGCGACTAACTTGAGACCAGGCAACGTTACGCATGGAAGACGAATGGAACTGGCAAGCGCTACGTAATGAATCGACGTTCCGACCTCTCTAAACGACTAGAAAACAAGGACACCGACGTAAGCATGAAAGTGGAGAAGATTTAGTAGTGAAAGTCGTCTTTAACCCGTTTACGGTGCTGAACTATTGCCGCTGTCAAGTGGACATAAGAACCCAAAAACTATACATATAAGGCGTATGTCAGATGGTGCAGCAATACGAAATTTAGCATTAGCTATTCCTAATCCCTCTTTTCGAAATTGAAGCAAAGTTTTCGTTGAGTTCTACCCCTATGCACAAAACTCGTAGGGAACTAGTCTCCGGAAGTAGTTTGACTCGCTGAAAACGAGTCGAGGTGAATGGTGAAAAGCGCTCGTAATTCTTCTGCGCAAATATGACCAGCCACAAAATGTCGATTCCGCGTCGGCAATGCACCGACACGCTTTTTCCAATATAGACTAACCAGACTCCGTATAGCTCGTTCTTTTGAATTCCATTCTACCACGGATTTCACCATGGCTTGGTGGAGGAACTCAAAGCAAAGAGCTATGAAAAGAGTGTTATCGAATTTGTTAATCTCGTGATGAAGGATGAATTAAAATGTTGAGCGGAAGAATCAAAAACAGTACAGCACTTGAATAGCCTCGGAAAATGAGGGAAGAACTGTAAATGAACATCGTGCTCCCCCAGTACTCGAGTACAATTGAGCACCTTTTCGATATTGGGAGAGAATAAGAGCTTCAAAAAAAAGGTAGTAAGACAATTATTACATACCTTTACAGTTGAAGGAAACCTGTTCCGATATCCGTTCAGCAATCTCCGTCTGGCATGAATCAGCACTCAACAGGGGGTTACTAATATCACAGTCAACATTTACTATTTCGTTTTTCGAAGCTGAAAAGGTCAGGAAGTTTGAATAGTAGTATTATGGACTGAAACACTTTTCGACTGGAATATTCACCTGAACATGTGAATGAAGTTGCAGAACCTAATCGCGCCCCACGCCTACGAGAGAATGCTCCGGCGTGATAGGCGTTTTTAGAGTACGTGAAAGTACCGCTTATCCTTGTACGCTTCGGTTCTGAAGAAAACGTATTGTTGGTGTTGTACTAGGTTTAATCGACTGACCGTTCTCCACCTACCTGTCACTGTCAACTGAACAGATTCTCTCTCTGGTGCGGTCAACACCACATCACATTTGGCATTCGGTGAGGGAGATCGGAATTGCGTAACCAAATTTATATCATACGTCCACGTTTGAGGTAGCCAAACGAAAACATTGGGAGGCGGAGTAGCCTGAAAAAGACGGGATACTCAAGTGTACATTGATGAAAAGGGTAATTGTATTACTCCTCTGCGTATGGTGACGATACTCACGTCGCTATCATCACTGCAACTACTTGGACTTGAAGCTCCTTCTACTCTTCGATGTTCGCTTATTTCCATAAAAATATTGGTACCTATGTTATCATCGTCCGAAAAATCAGAACATATGACGCTTGAGCTGTCTGAAATGAAGACTACTGAATATTACTGAGCAAACATAGGAACTTAACCATTTGCAAGAAAAGACCCTCAAATACTAAAGGAAGTAAAAAAGAAAAGCAGAAATATGTTTTACACCTTAACCTCAGTCGCTTTTCAGCTTTTACTCTCACAGAACTAGTTACGTTCATTCTATACATTCTTGAAATGTTTTCTAAAGCATCTAGGACAAAACTACCTCTAATACTAGTAATAACTTTCCGTTCAACTGTTCAAAAACCAGATAACCTTCACGTAACTTGGTAAAGGATCAAAGTGAGGAATTTCGAAACATCATGAAATAATTACCATCAAATGGGTAAACGTAGCACCGCTTGGGTTTTTCCTTCTCAGAAGTGCTAGCGTCACGCGACAGAGGATCACCCGTATTCAACTCTTCACCCGATTCCATTACATCTCCATTCATGATCGCTAAATCAAAGATACCATTAGAGGTCCACGTAATTGAAGTCTGTCTAAAATAACACAAACCTTGTTCCAGCTCCTCATCAATTTTGTCGAACTCAGCTAAAACAGCAGCTTCAACATCCTCCATTTCCGAGTTACCACTCGTCGAGTTCTCTCTATCTTTGGCGAAGGCCATAAGACCCTCATCTCTCATACTCAGTTCTTGAAAATCTTCAAGAGAAAGTACTCGGCTAAAATTTCTGACAGGGGAGCGAGGTCTGAAGAGCCGTTCACATTGACGCATGATTTCAGACTCAAACTCAGAAAAGTCGAAAATGGGTTTCTTCAAAGGGCTTGCTGGTCTTTCGTTCTCAGGAACTGCTGCTTGCTTGGAATCAGTTGAAATGGCAGCTTCACTCAGGATAGCACGTTCTTTAGGATCCTCCTTCGACGGAAGCAATTCCACGGCCGCACTCTGCCCTTGTTCCAAAGATTCTTGGCAAAGAGGAGGAGCACTTGGACTGGCTTCCTGAGTGGCCATTGCCGATTCCTCCTCAGCGGAAACCGTGGCAACTTGTAACTCACTAGCTGAATGACCTAAAGCAAGACGGGCGACATCAACACCTCCTGCTTCACATTCCGAGCTGCCATCCTCGAAAATCTGCAAACAAAACTTTTTTGTTACCTGTAACAAGAAACGAAAATCAAAAAATATTGAAAGAGAACCTGGCAAACATCCAAAGGGTTACTATCCGGGTATAGGCTCTGAAACTCTGTCAAGCCATCGCCAGCAAGCGGCAGTTGAATGGGCTTGCTTTTGTCTGCTTCGAAACTACCTCTTCCTTCCTCCTTCTCTGCAATAGTATGTGATGTAGAAGCTTTATTTCGTTGTATTATAGCATGAATATTATTTAGGGGTGATAGGGAATGGATGGGTAATCCACGAACGAGAGAAATACGTATGCGATTCAAACGTGAGACTTCTAGCCAAGCTAGACATAGAAAAAGCTACTGCACGAATTATCAAAAGTTCAATGCGCAAATTACAAATGTAGTCTGGAACCTCCCCCTTTAACATCTTATTAAAAGTCGGAAACCTGAGTAATGAAACTGAAACTATATCAAGAACCAGAGAATTATATTTTACGCCGCGAAAAAACTTTACTAAAGGTCGCTACTGTAAGTATGCATACTGTAGGTAACTGTAGGTTGAGATCCCAATTTCGACACCTTCTACACGTAACAGAAAAAAATTGAATGAACCTCTTAACGATTCTGGTTCCGGTGGGAATTGTGTGTGGACCGAAGAAGTCAAAAAAGGTTGGTCGTCCCCGGCGTCTATTCTTAGTGACTCTTTTTCAGAGTTCTCTGGAGAGATGTTTCTGGGAATTGATGCGTTTCTTCGTTTATTTATAGGATATCGACCTGAAATCGAAGCTTTAATCTCGTTATGATAGGACATTGCAAAAGAGAACCCGCACGGCTCCTAGAAAGTGATTTAAGTAATTACATTATGGAGGGCGTTGGTGGCATAGAGAGAAGAATTCACCAACGATCGGTTTAAAAGTGGAATTAAGCTCCTACTTGTTTTTGCCAACAAACGAATTTACCACAATAACGACGACGAGGAAAATAAGTGCCAAAAAGGGAGTTCCAGAAGAGTCGCCTTTCCCAAATTGTTCAGAATGGATATAAACATAAACTCGAGAAGTAACGAAATAGTTCCCACCTAGTTCGTGATAAGAATATGGAGAGTTCCTCTCGTTTTCGACGAAGTCCGATCCTATTATGTAATCTGAAAGATAATCATCCGATGCAAACTCAATGAATAGGACAATCTGCTCGGATATTAGCAATGAAGAAATAATACATTTATTTAACAACTACTCAAATGAAAACGAATATATCTTGACACCCTGTTGGTGGGTATCGGACGGTGGACTGATATTCTAGTGGCTCAATTTTTCATGAGTTATGCGTCAAGTTATATTCGCTGAAATCGCAGTAAACGGGTGATGATCTACCACGAACACATTTTAGGTTAACCGCGCTCACGTGAGAAATCGCTGAAGAAATAAAAAACGCATAATTCGCGAGCATTAGCTAATCATAATAAAGGGGATACGTAGCAACCTCCACAGTGAAACAATGGAATCGATAACCGTCTACAAGCACTACTAGAACTCACATTTTCCTCCAGCTAAATCCTTCTTCGATCGGTGATATGCACGTGCCAAGTGAACTGCCTCCGGCCACAAAGGTAACTCATTCAAAATGGCCTTTTCAACCTAAGCGGTAAACGATAAAGTTTGTAAATCTATCTCCTGCGTGACAGTGGAAAATTCTTGAAAACCACGACTGCCAAAACTCACAGCTTGTTTAGTCGTATGACGGCCGCGAAGCAACCATAACATAGAAAGTTCAGAAGCAGACAGCTCCTGCATTACAATGGCAGTCGGGAACACAACCTACAATTCATTTAAGATACAATCCTCCGAAGATCTAAAAATACTGCTGCAATTCCGCCAGCCACAAACGGATAAAATACTTCTAAATTCATTCGAAACCGAAAATTACCTCGCTTTCCTTTCAATTATCACATAAGGGGCTAAAACCAGATCAAGTAAGCCGTCAATTTAATATTTCTTGGCCTGAAATAGATCAATACAAGCTTAATAACTTTATTGTAACGAACATTGATGCGATACAGTCGCGTAAAATCATAATTCAATCGAACATTTAAGAACACCATATTCTCCCGAGTACATGAACTTGCTTAGCGGGCGAAGATCACCCAGAAGACAATCAAAGTAAAATCCTAACCATCACATGAACCCTTTTGGAGCTAAACATGTCTCCCATCCCTCTCTTTCATGAACACCTTGGGGAACCCTTTGACTGCAGAGAATTCGTGCTAAGGGACGATAGTTTGCTCTCTTTAAACACGATCTCATTTATTTCGAGCTGAACCGGAAAAAAATCTCAAAATTTAATGAATTAGGCGTTTTCCGTACAGCGGATAGACCGTTCCAAATCTTCACTCGAGTGATTCGTTTTGTGATAGAAAAAATAGAATCTTATTGTAAGTTGGATGAAGAGGAAGTGAAGGGGCGGGTGTGGGGATGGAGTCCTTTTGCAATCTCCTCTCTACCTCAAAAATCTATTTCCATTTATTCTGAGTGCTGCCCTAGCTGCACTTCTCACCCTGCTAATGAGGAACGAGCCGCCTTTTGTCTCGGCAGTCTATCTAAAAGCGTCTGAGCTTGAAAGGTGGAACAGAACGCCGATGGTCAACATCAAGATGAACCGCAGAGACGAAATTGCTGCTCATATTGATGGTAACCATTGACGTATTGTTACTTGTTTTCGTCCTTTTTGGGGAGCTCGTTACTCTTGCGAAGTCAAGTCATTAAATAAATTTCAATTAATTACTGATTCGTTACAAACAAGGGGGCAACACAAGGGCACATGGGGGCTCTGAGAAAGACTTCAGGATGAGGTTTCTCTAATTGCCATTCCCCCGGGCACAATTACGGATCGATGTGCAAGCAGCTTATCGGCCATACGAGTACTCATTTGAAAAAACAGCCTTCCGAACTCATCCAAGCGTTTCACTGCAGACTATGTCACCCCAATTCTGATGCTTTCAGAACTACGTCCAAAATGAAGGTGGTTCAGTGCTCTTGTCAAGTTTCTTGGCTCAGCCATGAATCAAAAGTCGTTTACGCTTTGGGAGACAACGCATAATTGCACACCAAGCGAGCCCAGAAGATTGATTGTTGATTCGTGGGAACGGATGAGATGAGTCGGAAATATTTAATGGCACGAAAGTGGTATCCATAGTAATTGACATTTCACTTCTGAAGAGAGCTCGTCATTAGCAATCAAAGGATAATCACCATGTCGTTAAGCAGAAAATAGAGCAGCAACCTGACTAAGGAAAAAANAAGCGTTTCACTGCAGACTATGTCACCCCAATTCTGATGCTTTCAGAACTACGACAAAAATGAAGATGGTTCAGTGCTTTTGTCAAGTTTCTTGGCTCAGCCATGAATCAAAAGTCGTTCACGCTTTGGGAGACAACGCATAATTGCACACCAAGCGAGCCCAGAAGATTAATTGTTGATTCGTGGGAACGGATGAGATGAGTCGGAAATATTTAATGGCACGAAAGTGGTATCCATAGTAATTGACATTTCACTTCTGAAGAGAGCTCGTCATTAGCAATCAAAGGATAATCACCATGTCGTTAAGCAGAAAATAGAGCAGCAACCTGACTAAGGAAAAAAATTGCAAGGGAAATGACGCCAATTTATCAACCAAGTCGCCTTCGCGTTTANAAAAACTGGTTGCCAAATCGGGAAGGCGCCCACGTTTTGTCCTTTAAACGCGGCCATCTAGAAACCTCGCACTAAAGGTTTTCTCTCAATTCATCGTTCAGCTTACCCAGATTGATTCCGACAGGGCATGACCTTTGCTGTTCACCCGAGAAAATTACTTAAAAATAACCTAGGAACACCATTATGTAATTTAGGAGGTTTAAGCGTCGTTATCAATGGCAGGGATTAAATCTTGGAGTAGTGTGGATGCTCTGGCGATAAGCTTCGAGTTGATTTCCTCTCAAATAACCACTTTGAAAGGGAGAACCTTTGATTTTTTAGTCAACTAAACCCGAAATAAGCAGCTTCCAAGGATTTGGCTCAATTATTCAAGCGCAGTCAAGAATGTATCAAATTTGGCCACTTCTTAAGGTGCATATTCCCTTTCTTTTATGGTATGGGTGGGGGGCACGTGATGGTGTTAGTATGACAAGTAATTAACACAGTGTTATAGCCCTGGGCACTGTGTCGCAGATGGGCATTGGCCATCTGCGGGCTCCAATGCTCTTTAGCCCGGGGGAAGTAGATTTAACTAAGCTTCAGGAGAGTAGGAGTACAGAGTGGGTGAAAGTGGGTGAAACGATTACCTGGAGAAAAAGGTGAAAAGTCGCCCACCCCGGTGCTTCTTTCCTCCTAAGGCTCAATTTAAAAAACGGCATGTCCCTGACGCAACACCGCGTTAATTCCTTGATTTACTAAAACTGTTATGTGTGCCCCCCCCCCCTACTGCATTCCCACCGAATATAAGTAATCTGATCCCAGAAGAGTTGCGGCTGAGGGACGGCACCTCATTCTATTTTTTTAAGAAAAACTTGCGAATCTTGAGGTTCACAGCTAACAGCTCAGTATATCACAGCTTGTTTAACAACAGCTGTTGTGCCCTACCAATTTTTTTACCAGAAAATCGAAAAAGGTCTGGGAAATACATTTATAAGTTTTCGCTTCAGGAGTATAAAACGACAGTAAGCCAGGCAATATTCAAGTGCGAAAATGTACATGCGGAACATGTCGGTGAAAGAATGTGTACTTCAAGCGGAAACATTCGCGAACGCTTCCGTAACCAATGAATCAGGCCGGCAGCGCCCATGTGAGCAATACGAACGAAACCTTGGCAGATACGAAGAAAACGAATTGAGGAATTAAAATGTCGAGAAACCTCAAGTGTTTCGTTCAAAAAGTGACATTCAAAAAGTTCAATTGAAAAGAAACAACTCGAAGGTAAAAACCGCAAATCAGTTTGACTGCGGGAATCCCATATGACCATCTGTTGAATAGAATGTTATCGGAGAGCTATCAAAATAAGGAATGGCACATAACGATGGGAAGCACCAATAGAAGGAGATGACCATCCCTTTACTTTCCATCAATATACGGAGTAGGAGAAACTCCCCGTCATGGCAAACCTTACAAATGATCCAACAAAAAAACAAGTCATTATTCAGCGGCAGCGAGGATCCCTTTCTGCTGCAAGGCAGGTTTGCTTACGACCATCTGGGTGTGAAGGTGGCGACCCAGTTTCCTGTGGGTGTGTACGCGAAGGCGTCCTTCCCAGCCGTATCGATCGTCGGAGGCGCCCCCCAACACCCTCCAAAGTCGAAGTAGCCGGGTCTAAAGCTAGCGGATTCGTTTTTTGGAAGACTTTTTTCACTGATATCCAATACGCGGTTTGCTGGGCGGTTCGGAACTCTGTCTCTGGAAATTGAAATGGGCGATTTTTTTTAAATCGATGTTAGACACACTGAGCCGCAGGCATTTCCTTAATTTTTCTTGTTTTGAAATTCCTGAAATAGCTTCCCCTGAAGGAAGAACACCTTGGTAATCATCATTGTGATTCACCACAATGAGCAATTTACCGTGAAATGGTTGTAGTGTTTGTTTAGGGCTGCCAAGAGCCGTGACCCGACCGACGATCAAGTGCCATATCGGTTCCGCTACCGCTCCCGAATGGGACGCATCACCCATGCCGAAAGGAAGCTGATCATTGGAGCATGAATACAGTAGTTTTCATGACGTCTCATGATGGGACACTCCGCCCAGTCCAAGGAGGGCACCGATTCCCTTACCAAATCGTTTCAAACAAGTGGAAATTCAAAGAGGAGGGGGATCTCCGAAACAGTTGCCGCTATTGTTTACAGTGGCCTTTCACTCGCGACCTCACGCGGTCCTACGCAAAGGACGATCAATTCTCCCAAATGGCAGATTGGAGAAAACGATTTACGGGTCGAAGAAATGGCTATTTTGCTGCCCATGTTAAGCGAAGTATTTAGTAGCCGGTTAAACAAGTAGCATTGTAAAGTCCACCCCCAAATTAATCAGTTTGGCGCCTTGTGGGAATGAAGTGGGGATACGGAAAAAGGTGATTGGAGACGAGCTCGAAAAAGGGTAAGGGTTGAGGGCTCTATAGCAATATATCGCTCAAAAGATTGAGTGTCTTAGAAAGTTTCGAGCCCACATTAGGTCATAGGTCCCCTCTCCCACGAAGCTCAAATTCAGAGTACAAGCGCGTTCTCGAAGGTCTTATTGTCTCGAAAAGGTTCACAGTATTCTCGGAAGAAACCTCCTACGTCAGCTACATTTGCAAAACTTTTTACGATGAAAATGTAGTTAGATGGGAGACACACGTAGGCACTTTTTTAAACTGAGCCTTAGGAGGGAAGGAGGAGTACTGTAATAGATGAGATGATTACCTCGTGAAAAAACTGAAAACTCGCCCACGCCGGTGTCCCGTGCTCGTTCCCTCCCACGCTTCGTTAAAATAATTGCATGTCCCTGGTGTAACAAGGACTAATAAGTAACAGTGTTAATTACTTGATTCCTTGATAGTATTAGGTGCGGCCCCACCTCACCCC